TTTGTCTGTAGCAAAGTCAGAATTATTAAAACACCATTCTGTAGTAAATTACAAAAGAATAAATTTGATATGCTACACGACCCATTTTACCTTAAAACTTGGCAACAATTACATAAAATCAAAAGTGGTCAAAAAACGTAAATTGATTTTACAGGATATCCATAAGAGGCACGGAAAAAAATAATACATTTTCGAAGCTTATTTTTTAATAGGGTTCAAAATTTTGCTATACTGTTTAGCTGTAAGCTTTAATATTTTTTCATGTTTGAAAACTTGGCATTTTTGGCAATTTTTGTTCCTTAATTGCTGCCATGTCTTTAAGTCAAATGAGATGTATAGCATATGAAATTAATACATTCGGTGTGTACAATAAAATGATGCTATAATAATACTGAGTTTTCCAGGAGTTAAGTTTATTGAGACCAAACAATGATCAACATCTCCCATAGACCTAATACTAAATAATGTGAAAATTATCTTAATAATCGGTCTAAAATACAATCAAACTTTATTACAAAATAATTTAGATTAAATGTAGCAATCATATACTTGCAAATACTAAAGAATTTTCCCTTAATTTTGTTAATTTGCTATGAATTTAACTTTTGGGTAAATACTTTTGTACGGTTTACATGGGATCCCGCGGTTAAATAATTATGATTTGGAGTGTATATATGTTTTGTTTGGGAAACAGAATTGTACAATTTATATAAAAATGAATTTGATTTATCTGCAATGATGATGAATTATTCATTTAAGTAACTTATTTTATAATTGTATAATGTACGACACTATGTTTGTATACTATCCTAATGTAAAGTATCCTATCTTTATATATTAAAGTAATATATTATATGTTGCAGGAATAGCAAGCAATCGATACCATAGCGTCGTTAAATAACAGTATACTTATACTTATGATTCAAGTTTGGAAAGATATTCTGGTTTACTAATTTATCATGTTATGATAAATTTGGATTAATTCAAAATAATTTTTAAACTAAATACTCTTTATAAAATAATATCATACGTGATATGTTTGATGGGATGTGTGTATCAAACGTATAAAATAAGTTTAAGTGGTGTCGAAGTTGTATCGCGCCATAAATTACCTTGGAAATATTTTACAACGTTTTGTACGTATTTTACGTAATTTTTAGTATACTTTTTATACGAAACCACAACTAATGTCATTTACGCGTTAAGTAGTGTATCGCCACTCGACACATCATTTACTATATGTATAGTTAAGGAATCAATAATACGAAAAGAATTTATACATAACTATAATCTAAATGAAAAACGATTGGGAGAACATCTAGCCGATTTCAATCGCCAACCTATTGGCCGACAATTGAACATGCTCAATAAATGTCTTGTTTGTGACATTACAACAGTGTCAAAAAGATTGCACAATTGCAAACATCTAATCACACAATTAATTAGCAAGCTATATTACTGTTTCACTTTATCATTGGATAAATATAAAAATACTATTACTAATCGCATGAACACTGATATGCCCAAGCACGTGCATTTCTACGTTAAACATCGTGGTAAAGATTGTAGAATGAAGAAATTATCAATGCAAGTTCATAATATGAATGAACCGGTATATTTGCCTCAATGCAATGCAATCACAAATATAGCACTAACAAAGTATACTAAAAATTACGTAAAATACGTACAAAACGTTGTAAAATATTTCCAAGGTAATTTATGGCGCGATACAACTTTGACACCACTTAAACTACGTTATAATAACTACGGTTTACAGGCGTGTATTGTCTAGTGCCTAAAATCGGCATATGCTAGTATTAGCACAAAATATTATTCACCAGATATACAGTATTATGTATCTAGTAATGGATCCTATAATCATTATTTTACTTATTCGTATACACATTTATTTGAACAATGTAAACAAAAGTGTCATAATGGTTTTGACTATGTAAAATATTTGTACCAGGTAGATATGTTTAATACGACCGATCATTGTGGAAATATTCCTGGATATTATTGTTTGATAAGAGTATTTCTATCTTTAGAGCCGCCAACTTTATACGAGGGATCATTGAAAATGTCTGCCGAAGAATACATTAGTCTAACGGCGAGTGTTATTAGTCTATGGTTTGGATTCAATATCATTGCGTTTACAGAATATATAAAATAAATATTTTTAACATTTAATTTTACATATTATATGCAGAAATTTTTTATCTGGACTAGCGGTCAAATATTTAAAATTGTAAATGTAACGTTTCACAGTAATGTTGTTAACATAAGAGTGCATATATTAAAATTTAATCATTTATTTAAATCACAAAATATTGTTCCAGCTAATGATAATATTAAATTTTAAATGAGCATGGCAATGTGATGGAAAAAATATTACGATTAACTTATAATGCCACTACTATATGTCATTTATTTCTTTTATCTAATAATGTAATTTTACATTTATGACTCATTTGTTAATATTTTTATAAAATGTTTATTTGCAATATTAATGTAAATACTATGCTTGTTTTAGGTGTTGCACAAAATGTTTATAGATTTTTTTTAAACATTTAACATTACATAAAGTAAAATATCTACGATTTAATTTTTTAAAATTGTATTTCACTAAATTAAATATATCTTAATTACTAACTTAGATGATATTACTTACAAATAAACATTTTATTAAACAAGTCACTTAAAATAAAATATTAATCAAATATATTACAGTGATATTTTGTATGTATTTCATATATTTATTTATATACTGTTAAATTATTGTCAATAATTTAATTATAAAGGTTTACAATCTAGGTTAGTAACACAGTTAGTTTATAAATATTATAAACATTTTAAGCACATCATAATCCGTTTGATTAGATTAAGTACTGTATTAAAGTTATATGTATTATAATGTTTAGTTAGCTTTTATTTAGTTAGATTAATTTAATCTAAATTGATAATATAATAAATGTTAATATAGTATTACAGTAATACAGTATTAACCTTATTATAATAAAAGTTTTTATTACAAGTAGCCATAAAATTTATTTAATAATAAAATACAAATAAAACCTAATATTAAAAACTAAATTTAAATAAACATGTTTAAAATTAAACTGTTTATATTTTTGTTATTGGGTTATTTACAAAATATACATGGTGTTATAAATCCTAAAGTTATTTGTTACTATGAAAGCTGGTGTAAGTCTTATTATATTATAAATAAAAATAAATTTATTTACTCAATTAAATACATATTAAATATATGATAAAATATTAATTAAATCTATCTAGTTGCTTATCAGGACAGTCATGGTGTAGGCACTATGAAAGTTGCCGATATAGGTAATATAAAGTAAATTTATAAATTATTCAATATAATTATTTTATAATTAATTGTAAAACTTTAGATAACTATGCATGCACCCACAGAGTATATGGCTACCTTGGTGTTACTCCCAGCGCCGACGTTAAACTCACTGATGAAAATTTACAAATTGTTGAACGTATAATTAATTATATTGCTAGATTTAACTTAGTAACTATATATTTAACTTACTCAGACATAGTGATGAATTATCATTTTCATAGATCAATTACAAGATTGGGGTAAATACAAGATCTTAGATTTGTCCATGATTGCTATTGGAAGCGTAAACGAAACAGCTAGTTTAAGCATCGCATTAGAAAATCCAACCATATTCTCGCTAAACGTGGTGGTTTTCATGAAAAAGTATAACCTTGATGGTCTAGTGGTTGAATGGTCACCTAAATTATGGGATAACAAGTATATGGAACCGTTGGTTACTTTACTAAAATGCTTGAAAGAGGCGTTCGCCGCCAATCGCTTTGTGTTGGCAACCCTTTTAGGCGCAGAACAGTCGGGTTATGATATTAAGGCTGTATCCGAGTAAGTTAATTTTAAATAGTTAATTAAAAATATCTTACTAAAATTATTATAGCAAATATTTCTAACATTTATTTGTTACCATAATAAAATAGACATGTTGATTTCATAATTGTGAGCACTCTCAATTATCACAGTTCGTGGGAGGGTACAGTTGGCAACGCTGCTGCTCTCGATGATCAGGTAATTATTTATTATTATTAAACTTATTATAGAAGTTATAAAACTATTTATTATGTTAACATAAAATAGACACGATCGCTTAAATACTGGGTTGACCAAGGTGGCATTGCTGAAAAACTTATTGTAAATATATAAAATACAACAACATAAAATAGAAACTCTATTATTAAACCACTTATTATTATTAGAAAATTAAATACCGTATAATTTATAACATGGGCAATCTGTAAATTAATTTTTATTTCATAGTAAAGTAAAATTATTATTAACTAGATGACCGTGCCATTCTACGCACGCACCTGGACATTGGCCGATAGTAACAAACACAATATCGGCGCTATTTCCAAGGGGCCGGGATTAATTGGCCCATGGACATCAGAGGCTGGTAAACTAGGATATAACGAGGTTTGATTATAATATAATGAATAACAAATCGCCACAATAACTAATAAATACATTACTCGTTTTGCAACATACAGGTACTGTTACGCATTCACGACAGGCCATCAAGCTGGACCAGGTATGTGGATAATACAACAGGTTCAGTGTATTTTGTCGGTGGTGACCAATGGCTCTCGGTGGAGGATCCTACAACATGCGAGGCCAAAGCCACCTGGGTCAAGGCTAATGGGTTTGGCGGTATAGCTGTGCGGGCGATTAACAATGACGATTTTAACGCCTTGACCTCACCTGTCAAACACCCACTGCTAACTGCTATTAATAAAGGCTTCAACAAAATTATATATTGAACATGGACATTTGAATATTGTTATAATAAACTATAATTTGTCAAACAATTTATAGAAATAATAATATAAAATAATATTCTAATAATTTTAGATAAATAATAAATGTAATATTATTTTATTTAAAAAACAAAAATCAATAGCAATTTAGTTGCTTTTATATGGGTAACTTTAACTAATATTAGACATTTGTTTTATAAACATTTTAGTTAGAATACTATAAATGTATAAAATTATTACATTGACAATTTTTTAATATTATTATCATCATCAAAATTATCATTATTAAAGTGATTTAATAATTCTAAGAAATAATAAACTGAGAGTATAATATTTAACTTTATTATCAATATTAGCTAGACCTCACAAAAATGTTAATAAATAGTAACAAAAATAATATACTGTTAAGAGTCTTAAGACGATAAAAAGGCTCAAATATTTAAGTAAACTATAATACATTTTAAAATATTTATATAATTGTTTATTAGCTAATTGAGTTGTTTCATAAAAATATTAATTTGTTTGCAATTTCATGCTAAAATAATTTTATATCAAATGTCACCAAATGGCTATGATTATGATATAAATATTAAAGTATTTTATTTTTAATTAAATTTATCTTATAATAATTGTGATACAATTCATTTTTATATTTTTCTCGATTACTAATCAATATCAATTTATTGATTTTTGCTCTATCTTTTTTATTCTTGCCATTTATTTTGCAATACAATAACCAATTAAGGTATTATTGCACTTCAGAGCATCAATTTATTAACAAACAGTCATCCACTTGTGTTATTTATTATCAAGATGTATAATTTTAAAGCAATCATACAGGTACTTTAGGTAACTTTACTTATGCAGGTATATAAATCAGAAAAAAACTTATAGTTTAATTAAGTATTAATTTCTTAAAAGTAACGTTTTTAATACTTATATTATTTTTGTCACTTTTATAATAATGTACTTACAGGCTGTTGTATTATGTTTGATGGTACAATTAATAGTATCCAGCCCAATTAACAGCAGTATTGACAAGAATATTACTGATGCGGTAAATATTTAAATTTACTAAACATACTGTATTTAATTAAATTATTATTTTTAATAAGTAAACAACTGTTATATTATTTAATTAAAATATTTATTAATGTTTAACTCAATAACAAAGTTTTGACACATGTTAATTCTAACCAGGGTCAGCACATACTTACCAGAATTAACCATGCTCGAAATTCAAAAGTGGAACTAGTAATGAGCACAAACCTAAACGAAACCGAAGAAAACGAGATAAGCGAGAAAATTTTCGACAGTTTTTTAGCGGCCACGGTCAATTTTAAAAATCACACATGTTTGACCCTTGACGAACTGAGCATGCGTGATTGGACAGTAAACAATTGCTACCAGGAATTGACCGAGTACCTTCAAGATGATCTGCACGCTGAAGTGTTGATCGGCGAGTTTGCTTATTCCGATATAGGCTTTCACGCATTAGATCTAAAAAGTAAATCTATACAAATGACAATCGGGCCTATTTTTATTGAGGCCATAGTGGGGTATAAATAAATAGTACATGTTCGTTTGCCCGTCGGATGCATAATGTGCAATTCAATTACTGTGATGTAATTGTTTTTTGTTCTTGAAATGTATTATGAATTTAGTATAATTTAAAATGTATTAGTTGAAGTGAATTTTTTTCAAAAAATAATATTATTAATAAAAATTTTATTTAAATCTTGATCTATGGAACATTAATAAATTTTAATTATTAAAACTTAATGTATTATTTAATAATAATACTCAATAATACTATATTTTATTGTTAAAAATTACGGTTAAATGCTAAAAATTAAATATTGCATTAAAAGTTTAGTTCATGATAAGTAATTAATTATTTCAAAATAGTGTGAACTTTAGAAAACACATTTAGAGTAATCCATATATAATCAGATAAAAACACTTAACTAAAATATTGATGTGCTTATTATTTTATCAATATAAATTACTGTACCTAAAATTAGTGATGTGTTATTTTGTATGCAACAAAAGAATTATAAAAATCTATAATTCAATAATGATCATTTGTTATTTCTAAATGTATGTAACCTATGGTGGAATTATTACACATAATAATAGGGATGTAGATTGCAATATATAATAGATTTCAATTAAGGTTGTCTGCAAATGAAACAATAAATATATCGATATATCAATCGATATTATTAGGAAATATACAACAGGAAACATTAAAACATATAAAACTTACTACATTTTCTATAGTTTAATAAAATACAAAACTACTATTATAATATATTATATTAATTTAGAGTATTACATTATTTAAATTAAAATTATAATTAATTTGTAATTTAAGCTGTAAACTACTTTAATGCTGAATAAAATGTTACTAAAAGTAGATCCTAAGGCTTGTATTATGAATACAATGCTATTATTTGGTCTAATATACCAAACGTATAAAATCAGTAAAATCTACTTTTCATACGAAACCACAACAAACATCGAGTTCAAAACGGACGTTCATTTTAGACTATCTGGGCTGACACTATGCGCACACCTTCACCACATTATACATCAACACCTGATACAAAATTACACCTTAGTAAATGGCACCGGGTTTAATCATCAAAATAAATTCCATTACAAAAATTTCTCAAAACTATCGACGAGGGAACAGTTGGCAACACTACAGCCACACGACAATGTATTTCGCTGTACATATCGTAAGTCACGCAATGAAAGTAAAGTAAAGTGCGATGACTTCACACCCTATAGAGTGTCGATATCTAAGGGTACAATTTGTTGGACCATATTTTCCCGGTGGTCGACCGAATCCGATCAATTGTATTACGTGGACACCACGCGCGCCAAATCATCGATATTAATTAATATTAAATTTATCAATCTGCCCTTGCTCAGTGATGGCCAATTGTACCTACGTATACATCCACGCGTTGAACGTATTAGGAGTTATAATGAAAAGGAGACCATTAAGCTAAATGTACATAATAGTAGCATATGCTACGTTAAATACAGAAAGACCAGGATAAAATTTAATCACAAATTATTTGGTAACACAAAATGCTTTGTTAATCAAGACCAAGATGATTGTGTGCATGAGTGCATAATTAAGCAATATTACAAAAATTATAATAAACTACCATCATGGCACCTGATATATGATGATGATAATGTTAAAAATAATACCGTTTACAGAACTGATAGCAAACATTATGGTAACAATACATTTGCACATTATTGCGATCGGGAATGCAGTGATCGGGAAGAGTGTACTAAACGTTATTATCCCAGCGATTATCAGTTGGACACCAATGATAATAATGATACGTATGACCTGAATATTAGGCTACCCTCAGAGCCCGAAACAATATACGAGATATCATTGAAAATGTCGTTAGAAGAGTACGTGGTATTTATCGGTTCACTATTGAGCCTATGGTTTGGTCTATCGGTTATTATGTTGACTAATACTTTATTGCAATTTGTCGCAAAATACATTTTGGTAAAATTCCCTGGTCAACGGTCAAATGTCAGCATAATTGTTAATAATAATGCGTTTGTAAACAAAAACATGTGGCGAAATACAAGGTTATATACTTTAGATAAACCTAGAAATAGATTTGGTTATAATAATTATTATAATTGATATTGTTGATAATATATGAATATATGCAATGCAGTTTAATGTATTAGACATGTTATTGTTTGAATTATAACATTTATTTAACTAACTATAAACAAGATTGCTATAAATGTTTAGATCACTTTATTCAAAGCATAAAACAAACAGCAAAAATGTAATTCTTTTAATTTATTTGTAACATTAATGTAAATATTTATACTAAAACATTTTATTGATTATCAATTGTAATAATTGCATAAATGTCTTCATATGTATTAAATTATTAGTTTACGCTCAAAATTCTTAGAAATTGAATTTATAAATCTTTAATAAAAATTAATATTATTATTAATTGAATATTTTAAAGTTTTATTTGAAACCAATAATGAGCGTTAAATTTTAATATATTTGCAGAATATTACTTAAGCTGATGTGTTTGATGGGAGTTTATTATAAATTTTGTAATATTGCTTAATTATGCACTCATGCACACAATCATCTTGGTCTTGATTAACAAAGCATTTTGTGTTACCAAATAATTTGTGATTAANATACTTTTCATACGAAACCACAACTAATGTCATATACGGTCAGAACATACAGCTATCGATACCGGCTTTAACCATGTGTTTTCATAAGACATTTTTATTAAACCAATCTATAGAAACTCAATTCACAAATACCATGGACAATTATACTGATAATTACATTTTTAAAATTAATAATTTGTCAATTTCTGATCAAATTGCCATCATGGAAAACATTAATAGTTATTTTAGTTGCAAAGCATTTTATAAGATAAATGAATTCAGCTCAAATAATTCAGATGGTATTGATTGCCAGTTACTATCAAACTATCGTATATCTATCGATCGACATAAATACTGTATATCACCATTTACGCTATTGATAGCCAATCTTTTTTAGCATATCACATATATGGATTCACAGTGTGCCATAAAAAGGTGGCGCAACGATCAGTAAAAAGTATATGTTTGTCAGTATTAAACATAAAACACCGCGAGAAGGTCAACCTAATAGTTTCTCACCCATTTTTATAAGTGGTTGGCTTTCAGTCTATCCACAAAATCATTTAAAACAAAATTTAATTATTAAATACACATTTTAATGAGATTTATAATATTGTTTGCGATTATCAACAATTTTATTAAGATTTGAATCAATCGTATTTGACGAACATATTTTCAAACGTGATCTTAATGTTTTTGCGGAAATACTACCAGTTTTGTCATTTTTAATTGATTTCATAAGGGAAAAACATTGTTCACAATTAAAAGTAACGGGTGTTTAGCCATCGAGGGATGAAGTAATCATGCTGCTATTTGATAACCCCTCGTACGATTTTAATAAACTTAGTTTTATTTTAAAGATAAAA